ATTTAATAGTAAATCGGTGTGATCTGTTGCTGTGAACTTCAAGTGCAAATGACTGCAAAAGTGATTGAGTTTACACCCAAACTGTAAGCATTCAGTGCTAATTAGTCCCAGAAGCTGTGTTGCTTAAACGCGGTGCATGCATGTGTGGGATCTGAAAACAAAACAGCATCTGTGATAACAACAAAAAAAATAAATAAATCCTTGTTTCATTCACTCAAGTGGAAAAAGAAGCTTTGGAAAGAGACAGTTTCCACTTTAATGAAGAATATAAACTTAAGTAGCAAAGTTCATTCGGAGGAGCATTCAGCTGTTAAAAAAATACTTTTTGGACAAAACAGAAACATTTATAAAGGCATCGTGTGTGCAGACTTTGACCTGGAATCTGTCAAAATTACCGTTTTGTTTTCACGATATGGAGCTTTCCAAGTGGCATAACAGCTGGGTTTATCATCCTCCTCTAGGCCTAATCTATTTGATAGCTTTTTAAAAAACATCAGCAAATCTGTCATGCTTCTTTCTAAGAGCCCATTTCCTGTTCGATTTTATCAGTTGCCTGACAGCTTTTGGCACACCACCCTAAACAGTACTTTAGATTTATCTAGGCTTCAGCAAGAGCTTTATTGACTTTGGCTTTCCTGTTTGTCAGCAAGGGATGCTTAAGAGCTTTTAACAATACAGGCAAATATTGTGTCTCCTATAAAAAGCATATATCTAGCTTTTGTCTTTTGTCTTGCTCTCATTCACTGCAAACTATTGGTGGAGTGAAGGTGTAAGAATTAACAACATGAATCCTTTATGATTTCATGCGAACAGCGTAAAGTCGGGCTCTTTTTCTTCTGGCAGCTCTGTTGGTCTTAAGAGCCCCACTAGAATTTCCACTGCTGTCCCGCTGTGACAGGGATGTGAATGTATCACTGCAGCTCACAGGGATAATTATATCACACACACACAAACTGTACGCGGACAGTCACACGCTCCTGGAAGTACAGACTCTGCACATGCAGACTAAAACATGCTGACCGGCTGGAGCTGAGCTGCTACACCTCATTAAATTGGGAAATGAATCCTGGACAGAGTGCTGGCGCCGTTTCAGATAAGCTTGAGGTGTTTTAGGATTCAACACATAAGTTACTGTGGCTGATTTTTGTTGCCAATTCTGATTCCCGATTTATTGCCACACATCAAATCTACATACAGATGCAATGGGTGCAGCATCCCAATCACAAATCTTTGATGACATTTTCGGGGCCATTATATTTGAGCTGAATGTGGACATCAGTTGAATGGCCTCTCATTGCCCTTGATACCCAAACATAAAACAGATGTGAGTGGCTTAAATACTCAATGACAGTGGCAGGGAATCATGATGGTGGAAAACAAAAAAAATCTGGGCACTGCTAATACTGTCACTGCTACTAAAATGAACAATGTCTTATTTGGGTATTTTCCTAATACAGTGCAGCTTTAATGAGATCATAAACTGAAGCCATGTGGCCAAACCAACATTTTGAACTTTTTTCTTCAATTTTTTTTTTGTCCGTTCCTTTGAGAAAGTACATCCTCACTGAAACCTTTGGATTTCTGATGTTTGCAAATCCAGCATGTTCAATAGAGGGCAAAGTTAAAACACAGAAACGTTGCTGCATCTGTTCAAACTTGCTAAATGATGAAAGATATGCTCTCTCTTGCTCTTTCGCAGCCTGAATACGTCTTGACAGAATATGCATGTTTCCTTTAAAAAGCTTCCTACAACTTTCATGCTTCCTCTGACTTTGCTTTTAAGCAGTTTATTTGGATCCCTTTCCGCTCAGGTTTAGCGCATTCACTGATCATAAAAAGATTGGATTTTTGAGTTCCAAGAACAGCCAGTCACCAGCCAGGACCAGTCAGGCTGAAAGCCATTTCATTCCAGCAACCAGCAGATTTTCTTGTTTATTTATTTAGTTTTTATTAAAATTTTTACAGAAATGATTGCTCACATCCAAATCCGACTTTTGATCATCATCATTAATGAAATATTTGTAAATCACCTCAGATTTCAACTTTCTCACGGCACATTAAACATAAATATTGAAGGATGGAGTGTGTTCAGGTTGTGCAATCCTGCCTGCAGCCTTCAAAAGGGGCTGGATGAAAAGCTGCCCCTTATCTTTGTGTGTGAAATCCCAAGCCAGACCTACCTTTTTGTGAACACAGCGCTGTGATTGGCTGAGCTGGACGAATAATACACAGCTTCCCAAGAGAGTTGTAGTGGAAGCCCAAGGTAACAAGTTACCAGACACCAGCTTTGGGGGCCATAACTGTATCATGACCCTGGGGCAGCGCTAACGAGCACATTCACTCCCCAGGGAGGACCATTCCCAAATCCAGGTCTGACTGACTTACTGTTTAGCCTCTGGTACCAGACTCAACTTCCACCACCTCCTCATCTAAAACCTTGTTCTGTCAACCCAGAGGGCAAGACAGCTACACACATCCACAGCTCTTCCTCTAAAAGGCTCTATTAGATTCTTTCATGTTGTAACCATCATTAAAATCCAAAATTTGCTAATGTGCTTTTGTGATAGTTGGGAAAATGAGCCTGCCTGAGATCTAATTGAAGCTGTGACATTTTAATACCAGACTAGTGAATGCCTTGGGTGCGACATGCAGGAAGGAAAGATTAAAAACAGGTCTCTCTGCAGTCATTAAAAGATAGAAAATGACTCCTTTTTAGGCTGTTCCTTTATTCTCATCTAAGAACAGCACCCTTACTCATACAAAATACTGATGAGCTCCTTGCAATAACATTGAATAAAATTAGAGATGTACTGTTCAAAATTTGATAGCCAATTTCCTATCTCCGGTTTTTGTAAAGCTTTGACCCGGTGATTAACTTCCAGTAGCTATGATAATAGAAAATATAAGACTAGCATTCATAATATATTTGTTCAGCCTTAAAAGCAAGGACTAATTGATTTCACATTTTAAATGACTAATCTATTTCACCTATGTGTTATGTTAGTGCTTAGCACCCTAAATGCTAGTGTTGGTAAAATGGCTGCAATTATTGATCAAATCAAATCAGATTTCCAAAATGCTGCAAGTTTCATGACACACTGCGGTTGATAGTCCAAAGAACAAAACAACTTACTGCACCCATTTCACCCTTCTTGCTATCTTCTGAAATTCTTGCTCTCTTTTGCAGCCTGAATAAACTGCAAACATGTCCTCATACAGTTCAGTCCAAGGTTATGAATCCACATTTGTTTCTTAAATAGTAAATCAGATGAGTAGTTCTCAAAAGATAACATCATAAAACCACATCATAAAATTAGAAGAAATTTTATTATTTTTTTTATTTACAATTGAATGGAAAATCATGTTATTGTGTAATTGTTTCACCCTTTTCAAATCAGTGAAAAAGTGTAAAAATGTATCTTTAGTGTTTAAATCCAAGTCTTTCCGGTTTGATGCCTTTCTTGCCATCGCACTAATCCTTAGTTCCTTCCAAAGACTCTCTATCTGATTCAGTTCTGCATTGACTAGAACATTGCCCAATGTTAATACCACTTCCAGTCAGAAGCAACATGGTGGTAAATTTGAAAGCTCACTTTAAGCCTAAATCTGCCAGGGGTGTGTATAATTTGGGGATTAAGTGCGTATTACGGTTTCCTTCCACTTAGCTTCTCACGTCTCTCTTCTTCCTCTGATTTTGCTGTCGGACGCCTCACTAGCATTGAAACTTGCTGACTTTGAGTCGAAATTGAAGCGAGTTGTTGTCAGCTCGGTCCCATAGAGCTTAAGTATGATACATTCACCGATTACGGGAATTTTCTAGTTCCCGACCAGCCGATCAATTAAAGTCCATTGAAAATCATCCAATTCTGGTCACCAACCAATTTCTCTGTTGTGCTTTTATAATAGCTTAGAAAATGAGTGTGTCTGTGCTGTAATTAAAGCTGTAACATTTCACTACTGGGCTGCCTTGGGTGAGACATGCAGGACGGAAAGATAAAAAAAAAATCTGGTATTATCACTTTCATCAAAAGGTAAAAAAATTAATCTTTTTATTTTTTGTACAGTTAAATTGCAGCCACAGAGACTGAAGTCAGGTTTACTTCAGTGCCTACTTGTTACCAATGCTTGTTTCACACTCGTTTTGTCATTCTCTTATTTTTTTTGTGTTTTGCAATTTTTCTTTTTTTTGCTTTGTCTCAAAGAACAATAGCATTTTTTGAAAGCTAATGTGACATTTGTCTGCTCGCACTAAAAAAAATAGAGAGAACATCAGTGTTGCTGTTTTTTTCTCCATAGTTACAGTAAATGTCTCATCTTGTCCAAAGGTTGTGTGGAAAGAAATTCATGTAAATAATGATTTATTAATCTCTCATTGCTTTGTATAAAATAAATTCAGACAAGTCACCCCTGCTGAACCTGTGATATCTCCACCATCTGTCTCCATTAAACAGCTATCAAACAGTCGTACCTGACATTTGCTGCTACAGCTGCTGTCTCGCCAAAGACTGATGGTCCAGTGTCAGAAATCTGACCTCGCCGCAGATCAGTTTGCCTCAAGCCTCATCTGCCAGTCACTCACATTGATAAAACTGAGGGTGAAATGTGTTGGAATGTAAAGTATGTCCCCCTGTTCTGAACTTTAGCCGTGCCATCCGCCGGCGTTAGGAAATCGAAGCAGAGGCAAAGCCCTAATGGCGCAGCGTGATGAGTGCAGCGAGATGAGCCCGCGCGGCTTCCTGTCGATCCCTATTGGAATGCTCTACATCAAAAAGATAGCTCCCAGCAAAACACTGCACACACCAAGAGACATCGATCTGTAACCACAGAGTCAGTGTATGTAACTAGCTCGCTTGTTCCACCTCTGACCCTCCTGTGGATGCAGAGTAGAACAAACTCAGTGTTATGATTAATAGCTTCTGTCACTGGATGTGCTGTGAAATTCTTAGCTTTCATTTAATGTCTGAGATTCTCTTTCTCTGCTTTTCTTTCTCGCCTTGCAGTTGTGGAAGTGCCCTCAGTCTCTGGTTAGCAGCAGAGGGGCAAGGGCAGACCACAGTGACCCACGATGATGATGGAGATGAGGAGTTTGGAAGCAGCGCTGCTGGTGTTGATCCTGGGACACCTCGTCTCTGCTCTGGAGGTCCCACTAGACCGTAAGGGAACATATCATACAACACATCAGAAACCAGGGAAATGCTTAGGGTCTAAGCCAGGGGTCTGCAACCTGCAGCTCTGGAGGCGCATGTGTCTCTTTGGATCTTCAACAATGGCTTGTAATGCCTTAGGCTAAAAAAAGGAACTAATTTATTTTTTAGGTTTTTATGGACAACTGCACTATAGTTTTTCAACAGAGTTGCACTAAAAGGACCAGGGAGGTCTTTTTTGATATATTTATTTTTATTTGACCTTTTTTCTGTGTATGTCAACTTATTATCTCACATGAAAAACAAAAGTAAAAAGTGATTTTCAGCTCTTCAGGTCAAGACAGGTTTTGTTTCCAGTATATCTGGTTTGAAATGTGACCATCATAAACGGCCCTTGTCAAACCATGGGACAACCTTTTTTTCTCTAATCACTAATGTCTGCATCTCTTTACTGTCAAATTGTTTTTCTTGTTCGCTGATTCATTGGGGGAACCCACAAAAGTTCTTCCGGGATGTAAGTCACAAATAAATGCTTTGCTATTAATAAGTTTGCAGTTTTTTTTGTCTCCGTCCACATTTGGAGGATTTGTTTTGTTTCAATCTGCACAGTATTTATGCCTAGTTAATATTAAAAAGTTTGGGGTGTGATTTGGAGTGAAATTTTGCATGTATTTATTTATGTGCTTGCTTTCTTTTGTTTTGTGTGTTACTACAGATATGGAAGATTTTACATAGAAAATGGCCACAAACAGCATGACTTTTTCAGTGATTTGTTTTGTCATAGTCCTTTAGTTGTCTCCCCAGCAGAGACAGGAATTCAGTAAGCATCGCTAAAGAGAAACACATCTTGGTGTTCCGCATGCTTTTGTGATTTTTTTTTTGCCATTGCGCAGATAAAGAGAGCTTTTTGTATGTATCAGCACAAGCCCCTGTGTGTTTTTGGACACTCTGGTCTGTTTCAGTGTGTTTGGTAATGACTGCTTGTGTGGTCGACACACAAGAAGTAAAATGGCTTCAGATTAAGCAGCAAAGGTCATGGTTAAACGTTTTTCTTCTTTCTGATCTCCATGTAGTGGCACAGCCTCCAACAATAACTCACCAGTCCCCAAAGGACTACATCGTGGATCCTCGGGAGAATATTATAATTCACTGTGAGGCGAAGGGGAAGCCGCATCCCAGGTAGGAAAAAGCCAAGTGCAGTTTAAAATTCAAGAAGTGTAAATACTCCTTGAGCTCTCAGACATAAACAGTTCAAGCTCAAATATTTTTTTATTTTATTCCATCTCAATTTATTTGTAAACACGCTGCCCTTGCCACAGGCTAATTGTTACTCAGGCAGCTGGTTTACTGCCTCTTACACAAACATTTATGCATTTCTTTGTTCCTTAGTTCTTGTTCCTTAGGCTTTGGTAATCTTAAGAAGGCAAACCAAAAGCAAGCACAGGGACTCAGGAGTTTTAATTTCTTGTTATTCAATTTAGACACTGATGTTTTATGTTTGGTTTCCACAAGTTAAAATGAAATGAGCTCATAGTTCACTTCAACAACTTAAAATGATCCCAGAGTCACAATTCTCCAGTTCTCATGTATCCATCATAATCGCCCATGCTGATAACCAGACTGAAATCATTTAATTTGTTTCAGCCTAATCTAGCTTATTTACCTCTTTGCTTCATCCTGCCGTGTTGTGTTATGTGTCAATAAACATGACAATCACATATTTCCCTCTTTTTATTGTCAGCAAATTAAAGAAAGATATATTTTTGATTGGATTTTTTTCTCTATTGTTACCATATATTGATCAAGTTCTTTGTCTGCTGACAAAATCTTCACTCCCATTAATCAAAGATAACACCCATACTGTTATCTAGTAAAATAGGTTGGAGACAAAAGTGACTGAATGCCTTAAACTTCATCTACGTTCAACATTTCATCTCCGCTTTACCTCAATAGTTTCATTGATGCTTAGGGCATGAGCGTTCAGTTTACATTAAATCTAAAGCGAACAAGTTTTCCAAGAGTCAGATATGTGTGTGTAGCAGACAGAAGCTCCATCACACACATATCAGTCACCAAGTTCATGTCTTTGAAGGGAAATGTCAAGACGCTGTTCTGCATACAGAAGCAAATGTTTGTCCTAAAAGTCTGCAAGTTTAAGGATAAAGTAATGCACTAGATTAATAAATATCCAAATAAATAAATTAATAAATGTAATTTCATGTTCAAAATTTTCTTTCCTTTTAAATGAATTTCAACAAAATATTTTAAGTACATCACACTTTTTAGGCATGGAGGTGCCAGTAGAAATCTGGCAGAATTACCCCCTAAATAAGCCCTTATTCCTGCAACCTATCATAGCTAAACTGGAGACAAATAGTTTATTTAATTTATAACTTTAACATTAAAGACTGTGTTGTTTTTTTCCACACACTTTCTCCTATTTTCTATTTTTTAAAATGTTATTTTTGTACAAATTAGCGATTGTGATTGCGCCTCACTGGAAAAGTACTCTGATTCATTTAATCGCCCGTTCATTCACAAAAACTACATTGGTTTTTCCTCACCAGCTTCTCCTGGACGAGAAATGGGACCCACTTTGACGTTGAACTGGACGAAAGTGTCACCATGAGGCCTCACTCTGGGACCCTGATGGTGGACATCACCAGAGCAAGACCTGAACATTATGAGGGAGTGTTTCAGTGCACGGCGAGGAACAAACACGGATCTGCTGTGTCCAACAATATCGTCGTCAGACAGTCAAGTAAGTGTAGCGTCCTGCTTCGTGTCATTTAAGCCATTTTCTTGTCTTTCATTTCAAACATTAAATTCATGAAACATTCTGGGTCATTTCCTCCTTCCTTTTCTTTTCTGTAAATTAAGTTGCGTATTTCTTCCTAAGACGGCTTATTGAAGGTACAGCTTGCAAGTAGAGAAAATGCATGTTAGATTATAGATTAAAATGCCCCGTTGTATTTTTCCTCTTAGCGTTTCCACTATTTAGACATCATCCTCCCATCTTGCCTCGTTGCTTCTGTCCATTATTAGCCGGCATTTTATGTCCAAATTGTGACAATACTCACCCTGTCATGTGCATGTCCATTTTCAACATCCCAGAGTCCCCCTTGTGGTCAAAGGAGAAAAACAAACCAATCGTGGTTCAGGAGGGCGTCTCCTTGGTGCTGCCATGCCGACCCCCAGCAGGACTTCCACCTCCCATCATATTCTGGATGGACAACAGTGAGCTGATACCTGTCATTTTGATTCATTTGGAATTTTTTTAACGTGGGCTTTGTTTGTAATTGTTGTAGGTATAGTGCAGAGCTTGTATTCTTACCATTATGGATAAAAATCTATGTCAAGAAAAAAAAAAACTGTGAAACAAAGACTGTGAAATGTTCAAGAAACATAATTTTGGGAGATCGGCCGATTTTTACATGTGGAGCCGATCTTTTCCACCGATATTATCAACGTTGGCAAAGGTCTAAAAATCAACCATTGTGTTTTTCTTCTCTCCTGTGAGAGAGGTTTTCCTGACAAACCGGCCGACCAGGTCATATCTGCACATTTACAGTTAACAATAGTTACCCCATTGTTGCCAATTCAGCAACTTTTGTGATATACTGAGCAACGTTTTAGACAAAAAATTTTATCAGCTAAAATCAGAATCGGTAAGTTTGGCTTTACAAAGGTCTGTATTTGGCAATCAGCTAGAAAACTGCAATCGGTGCACTCCTAACTATAACTGTAGCTGATTTGCAGAAACCAAATTTGTCAAGTCTTTGCTTGATGCCAAAAATGCTTTTGAAACGTCACCATTTCAGTTTCAACAACTTCAAAAATATTAATTTTACAGCTTAGTTAACTCTGCTAGTTGATAAAATTAATAACAACTTTTTTCTTGCATATACAAACCAAGAACTTAAGTTGTACTAATTTGAACTGAAAATCATATCCAAACTGGTAAAATTCAGAATGAGAATAGGGGTCCTAAAGTTCAGCTCTGAGGGACTTATTTAGTGTTTACTTCTTGACGTCATAAAGGATGTATATTTATATTGCTATAACTTTCTCAGACTTCCAGAAGTTACCTCAGAGTAAGAGGGTGTCCCAGTCCTTGAATGGCGATCTGTACTTCTCCAACGTTCGCCGAGAGGATTCCAGGAACGACTACATCTGCTACGCTCGCTTCACGCACACACAAACCATCCAGCAGAAACAGCCCATCACTGTCAAAGTGCTCAACCGTAAGTCTCTTCCCCCGTCTGTGATTCTCAGATTTAAAGAGGTGATTAAGATTTGTGTGATTTAAAAAAAGCACAACAGTGTTTGTGTAATAATGCATGTACACAAGAAGCGGCTCTTTTTCAGCAGGACAGTATGTGCCAGGAAGGCAGCGTGGGAGGGAAACCCTGCTTCCCATCACAGATCCGATCCTCAGAAATGCTACTGTCGTCTGACTCAAAGACATATTGTCTGAGTTCTGGTTGTTCTCTAAGCTCTCTGCTAAGCAGCTTTTTACTGTTTCTGTTGTGTGTTGTTTTTTTCCACACACTTTCTCCTCCAAAAACAAAGACTTCTCTTATCATTTTAACCTTTACAGCTGACATGAGAGACTGCATTCTGGCGATCATTCCCCTTATAAATATTTAATGTTTTTTATGTTAGTTTTCATATTGCCCTCTGTTAGGTAAAGGATGTCCAGACATGTTTTTGTAATTGTCATGATTTAAAATCGTTGCATGTGTGATTTCTTTTGTTTTGTTTGTTGTGTTACAGTGGATGCAATCAATGAAACAATGGCAGATTATTATAATGACACTGAATTGTTAAATGGTGAGTTTTTGGCACCCTCCAGTGTTTAATGCCTCCCGACCCAGAGCTCCAGACTCTAGCTTTCACCCACTAACACCAACCCTTCAACCCATTCATCCTTGGGGCTTTTTTTTTTCAAAGGTTGCTGGTTTCTTCCAGGGTGAGATCTAGCACCCCCTTGTGGTTTTTCTTAAAGTAGAGCTCAGAACTGTGGCTTCCTCACTAACACTCACCCACCTCAACCCCCAAAGTCACTCCTGCTTTATGCAACTGAACCCTGTTTCAAATGTACCTTTCCTTTGAGTTCCTTCAACTACAGCTGCATGCTGATTTCATTTTAGACTGAACTTAGCATTTAACATGTAACATCAACATTTACACAATTTACTTTTCCATAGTTCGAACTTCTAACTCACTATCTGAAATCAAAAAATAATCTGAAACATGATCTCGGGAACTCTGCACTGTCTTTGCAGAGCACAATATTTGTCCACTATGAAAAAAGGGATAGCAATGTCTCAAGTTGGAATGTGTGTTCATAATTGAAATATGGTGATTTGTATAGCAAATGCTGTCTGTTTGTAGACCTAACAGAGTAGCAACCTTTCTAATAAAATAGTTTTACCTGTGACTCACCATGGTGGTGAATGACTGACTTGTGACAAGAACTGTAATTCAGAAAACTCAAAATCTGTGAACACCCAGTTCAGAGAAGCATTCTTACTACTGACACTTGTGTTTTTCAAATCATCTGTCACCAGAATAGAGCCATTTAGTTTATTTTTTGTAAAACATTTTGACAGTGAATGGAAGCAGCTGGAAGTCTTTCTTTTCTTCACGTAGACAGACAGTGCTTTTATGGATGTATGAGGAGCTGCACTCCACTGATGTTAAAAAAAAGACCACTATTTTATGGCAATGCTATTAGGGCTGTTGTAAAAGAATATTTTAGTAGTCTATAGAATATTTTTAGAATTAATCGAGGAATAGGATCTCATTCCTACCGTTCACTCCAAAACCGTGACAACGTGCTTCCGACTGCACAAAAGCTGTCAGGCTCCAACCATCACGTCGCGAAATTCATCAAGCCTTATTTGTCCGCCAAACCCTCACACAGCGCCGCACAATTCACCACCGTGCTGCTAGCACTTCACAACAACTTATAGGTGGAAGTAAAAGTGCTGCCCTCCGCAGACAATGATCTGGGCAGAATAGAGAAACTCGAATCACTCGAGGAATCGTTTCAGCCCTAAACTCTACACATGGGTGGCTGAAATCAACTTACTACTTCATAGAAGATCTGTGACAGAAGTGAGATCGCTCATCCTTTCTTTAGCTAATCCTGCTGTTTCTATTTCCAGTAAACCTTTTCATTCTCTCATTGCTGATTTAATTCAAACTTTTTATTGTTTCTATTGATATTATTTCCACCTTATTTCACTTGCTTATAAATAGTGTAAACTCTTTGAATGATGTACATACTAAATCTGTTTCATTTATTTTCTTTAAAATAATCTTGGTAATTGACATATTTTGTTTTACGTTTATATTTCACTGTCTAAGTTAATTTTATACATAAGTTTACATAGTAATGCATGTTTGTTTTTTTTTGCCTATAAACACCTTTAACACACGCAATAAAGAACCTGGAAATAAAAGCCACATTTACCAATAAAACATGAGTATTTGTGTGCAGAGATGGATACATTTCCAAGCAGATGGTTTGATTACACCACAGTATTGAAAGGCGAAGGCTTAGAGAACATGTAGGGCATGATTTGCCTCAGTTCCTCTCCATTCTTGGCTGATGGCAAAGAGAGTACTTTTTTTTTCTCATTTTTGACTCGATATATCTATGTGTGTAACTGCAGAGGCCCCAGTGGATGAAAGGAAGCCAACCTTCCTCATCCCATCTGGCCACTCAAGCTACAAGATGGTGCTGAGGGGGCACGTACTGGAGATGGAGTGCATTGCCGAAGGACTGTAAGTCAGAGAATGAGCCAAAATTAAATGTCTCAGCGCCTCGAGTAGCCGCCTGCTTGATCACAACTCTAAAATCCAGGCCCACCCCTGAGGTATCCTGGACCAAAGTGAGCGGAGATCTACCCAGCAGGCGCACGTCCTTCCTTCACTTCAACAAGACCCTCCGGATTGTGAACGTGTCTGAATCGGACGAGGGAGAATACAGTTGCACAGCCAAGAACCTGCTCGGCTCTGCGCACCATATCATTACCGTCGAGGTCAAAGGTGTGTCTGCGTCTGCTGTTCCCTGCTTTCTCTCTCCTTACTCTGCCTTCCTCTCCTAATTGATTTATGCACAGATGCCATCAGTATTGTCTGTTCGGTAATTAATTCTTCGCTCTGTTCTCCTTGCAGCTGCCCCTTATTGGATCAGTGGACCTCCAAAGAATCTTGTTCTGGCTCCAGGAGAGAATGGAGCGCTGACCTGCAGGGCCAGCGGCACACCCAAACCCTCCATCATATGGTCAATGAATGGTGACCGCATAGAGAGTAAGAGCAATTTGCTCCACTGTCAGAGATATACCCACTCTAACATCAAATATGTATCACAGCCTATATAAAGTTTGCTATATTATTTAAAAACACTGAAAATTTTCAGATAGTAAAAGTACAAATTTCTAGTGATTTTCTCTTTTGTGTGAAAACTCAGAGAATGCAAAGGATTTAACTTTTTTTCTTGAAAAGTGTCATGATGGGTTCCAGTGGACAGGTAAGTTCAGGCGTGAAGGAAAACAGAGGAGCAAGCTGACTACCGGCTGGGTAATCCAGGAACGGTTTATGGTTAAGCTGCAGAGATGAAGAAGGGACTCAGAGGGTAACTATCCATGGCGCCACAAGGAGGGAAAATCCAAAAGCCAGGTCTAGGATTTTCACAGAGAAACTTTCTGGGCATCACGAGGAATCTCCATCACTGGCAAACACTCAGTCTGCTCCTCTTAAGCTCCAGGATGACTGGGTGATGAGTCACAGGTGCGGTGACTGAGTCAGCAGGCACGCCCCTCCAGGTGTGCAGCCTTTAACGCCATCTGGTGGATAAAGGATGAAGCAGCAGCCAAACAGAGAAAAACCCCACAAAAAACCCCAAAACTACTGGTTCCCAACAAAAAGCTACTTAAAGATATTTGATAATATATTTTCTTTCTATAAAAGTTGAATCTTGTGATTTTTAAGCTAAATAACTTCAATGTACAAAAAAACCCACAAAATTATAAAAAAAATATCTGTAGGGAATATTATAAATCCCTACAGATGACTTTCAATCATCTTACCATTAACTTCTTAAACACTGCCTTTTGGTTTGACAGATTTACCTGCAGATATTAGCAGAAAAGTGGAGGACGACACAATCATCTTCACTGACGTTCAGGTTGGATCCAGCGCTGTGTACCAGTGCAACATCTCAAACCCGTATGGTTACCTCCTCTCCAACGCTTTCGTCAACGTCCTCCGTGAGTTTAGATCTCAACATCCATCATGGGTTTTAATGCTATTTCCCATGCCTGGCATTTTGCGGACAGTAATAATCCATAAATATTCTGTTTTGACTCTCTTCAGATGAGTCACCCAGAGTGCTGACGCCAGCCAATAAGATCTACCAGGTCATCGAAAATCGCCCAGCCCTCATGGACTGCTCCTCTTTTGGGTCACCCATTCCCAAAATTGAGTGGTGAGTTAAGAAACACTCAACAAAACTTTGCCATGAAATCCTTCCTGTAGCATAACACAAGGTAGTTAAATCTCTGTGTCTTAGGTTTAAAGACAGCAGAGCCAGCACCCTGAATGGAGACCCTTACATCCTGCATGACAATGGTACTTTGGAGATTCAAGTAGCTCAGTCGCAGCACAAAGGCAAATACACCTGCATTGCCAGGAACTCGCTTGGAGCCTCTGAGAACCACGTTTACCTGCATATAAAAGGTGAGTTTGTTCATTTGTTTGAACATCTCTTAAATTATTACCCTACCATATATGTTGGCTATGTGCTTGCATTCTGTTGGACTAATCCAATTAAATATTTCTGAATATGATTTGGACATGCTTGTCTTTAAAATTTATTGAAACGATTGTTGTGACTTTCTGCTACATAATAAACTGAATTAAATTGAATTTAATCTGGTAAAAAAGCAAATCTCTGACCTGCGATGAAAAGCTAGCACTTTGCAACATCCTAACCGCATCATCTCTCTGATTAAAATGGCGGTGGCGGCATTATACTGTGGGGTTGTGGCTCTACACAAGTCAGAATTTGACTGACATTCTGTGGCAAGTTTTGGAAGTTGATGTTCAGAGATGCTACCCGTACAGTTTTATTGATCTTCAGCCGTACTGCACAAATTGCAACCTCTACATGGTGTCTCTCCTCATAGATGTGACGTTCTGATTGCAAGAAAGTATAATTCAACAAAGTATAGAGACAAGAGCCCAGAAACAAATGTGTGCATAATTTTTAGATGTGAAAAACAAATAGTCATTCATTCTTTTATGTTCCTTCAAATTCACAGTCATGATATTTTTGTTGGTTGGATGGTAACAAAACGGAAACACAATGAAAATACCTCTAGCATAGTAATTGTGACATACACAGAATAACTAACACACTGAATATTTCTTAGCCTTTCTGAAAGATTTCTATGTTGGCGCCTCTGATCTTTTATTGACTAACGTATTTACCAACCTGCATGTGAAACTCTACTGAGGTTCAGATTTTTTGTTAATCTTTGGCTTTCTTGTTCCATCAGAGCCCACCCGTATCCTAAAGCAACCGGTCGACATGGTGGTCCAAAGAGGCCGATCTGTGACGTTCGAGTGTACAATAAAACACGACAAGGATCTTTTACCCTCTTTGATTTGGCTTAAAGATGATGAGGAGCTTCCTGACGATGAGCGGTTGGAGCTTTTTTAAGTGCCTGTGTTCAATTATCTGCAGTTGCACATAACTGAATTGACTTTCTAATTTTACTCTATTTTTGCAGATTCATTGTGGAGTCCAACAGCCTGTCTACTTCTGATGTGTCACAGAGAGAATGGCTCAGAGATCATGGGGAGCTGCCTGTAGATGATCGGTTGGAGCTTTTTAAAGTTACCTGTATTTAGTTCTCAAGACTAGCCAAAAATCTAAACTTTTTATTTATTGCAGATTCATCATAGAGTTCAACAGCTTGTACATCACTGATGTGTCGGAGAGCGATGCAGGCGTGTACACATGCTACGTCAACACCACTCTGGACCAAGACTCGGTCACTGCTGAGCTGACTGTTGTCGGTATGCGACTCTGAGCTGAATATTACAAGCATAAAACATGAATCTTAAGAAAATGGCAGAGAGCTACATCTGTAGGATAATTTGATTCTACAGTCAGCTCTTTAGGACTAAATGTGTCGGCAGAATTTAATCAGTCATCATGCTCTGTTGGTTGATGACCTTTTCTTAAGCAGCCTAATTATCATTCCTGTTTACTGATTTGACCACCCAACTTCTTATTTCAATGCCGCCCTCCAACCTCACAGAGACCACCCCAGCTCCAGCTGTCACCCACGGTAAACCTGCAGCACCACAAGCACCCAGATGTGCTTAGCTAGCATGCGTTTGTGTTGTTCGCTCAACGGTTTCTGTTTAATGCAGCATGCTTCGACCCAGAAGAAGCCATTTGGATCGAACAGTCACAGAGTGTTGACTTTTTCTTTATTTACATCTACCAGTTTGAGTTGCTCCATTATTTTTTGTGTGTTTGTTCAATCTGCTGTTTTTGCAGAATCAATCGCTTTGACAGCGTTTTGTCTGCTGGGGTAAACATCTGGGAAAGGAGGAGCAACTTCCTCTTGTTTTTATATCAAAGCTAATTTCAGAGCAGATATAGTCCCTGAGCACTTCTTGTGATATTTCATCATTGCTCATTCATTTGAAGCATGTGTTTCTTATCACTGTAACTTCACAATATGAGCATCTGTTCATTTTGTCTGATGAGCTCGAGATGAAGTGAAGACTGAACATCAGTCATTTCATCGCATGATGCAGCATCTGCATGTGTTATCTCCACCAAGCAAAAGAAATACATGAAAACATGCAAATGAATTGTCCTGCAACAGAGAGGCTTGCTTGGATAAAGCATCATGACATAATCACCTGATTGTGGTGTTTCTATTAAATGTTCAAAATATAAATATATGTGTCTCTTCCTTTTGGTGTTTTTTCTTTCAGGGCGACCCGAACCCCCCACAGACCTGGAGTTGACAGACCAGAAAAAGAGGAGCGTTCAGCTTACTTGGATCCCTGGGGAGGAACATAACAGCCCTATTCAGGGTATGTGTGGGTCTATGTATTTATCAGTGATATCATTCAATGCATGCTGCATTAAACTGAAGCAGGCCTAAAATGCTATTTGTAGTTTTCCAGACAACAGGAACACAAAAACACATTGAACAATCTCCCCTTTAGTTCAACCTTATAAGTGGAGACACAAACATCAGATAAATTTATATACTGAGGAATATTGGCTAAATGTGGGTCAGATTTACTCGTTTTGATGGAATAATGTTTTTAGTGTTTTGCTACAAGTTTGTGTTATTGGTTGGATGATGCCATTTTGCCTTGTTACTTTGTTTCCTTTTTCTGTCTTTCTGAGTAAGAAAAAAATAGCTTTTACTGATTTATAACTAATTGTAAATTGAATTTTGTAAATAAAATAGAAAAAAAACCTTGAAATTGTACCAAATGGCTATGAATTAATATTCATCCCTTGAAGTCAGTGAAAAAAAATCCCTTTCCCAAATCTCTTCACTGAACTGAACATAACAATCTTGTCATACACGGGTTGTTGTTTGACCTCGTTTACTGTGTTAAAATGCTCAGCATGTTGCAAACACTCATCTTTAATGAAAACCTTGCCAAAATCCACAGTTTAATTGCACATTCAGTGTGTGCTTGGTGGCTTTTTGAGTTCAAGTGGCATGAGAGTATTAATCCCATTATGCAAATATGTGGCCAAGCACAGTTAAAAAGTGTAAAATGATTGTCTTTTTGAAATGCAGAATTTGTAATCCAGTATGAAGACTCACTGCACCACCAAGGTCACTGGCATGACATCGCGCGGGTTCCCGGGACCAAGACAACGGCTCATCTCAAGCTTTCTCCATATGTCCACTACACATTCAGAGTGTTGGCCCGTAACGCTGTGGGTCTGAGCGCGCCTAGCAGCCCATCTCGAATGTATAAAACTGAGCCTGCAGGTACAGAGCCAGCTGTTATAAATGTTATTCAGTTTTGTACCAGAACATTAATAATTGAAACCATGACATCAGGTTGCTTCCTCTAAACTTATATATAGCTTTCCCCAAACTTAGATGTTTAGGAAATGTTTCTGTGTACTTTCTTGTAATCTTAAATTACTTTCTGGGTTCTACTATGTTCTGAATTTGAACTTTTGTAGATTTATTTATTAACTTTTTGATAACTTGTCAGATACTTTACTCAAATGTAGAGATAATTTTCTATAACAAAACAATTTTTTCCCCAGAATATATATGTTCATTAAAAAATGTACCAAATAACTTCCTGAAATGTTCACAAAATTTGCTGGTCACAGTTCAAGATGCAATAGTTTACTTTCTCAAGAACTACTAGGTACATTCCCAGAACTCTGACATCTTTTTTTCTGCTTAATACCATTCTGTAAGTTCTATAAAACTTAGCTGCCAGGAAGTACAAGGAAAGTATCAGATACACTTTGGAATGTAAACTGTTTAAGTAAAAGTTGTATTATGTATAATTTGTTAGTGGAACCAACTAAACTTTTACTGTAAAAAACAAACAACAAAAACTAGTTTAAATGTAAAATTGGCTTTTTTTCCTGGAATTTGTTGATTTTTCTTTTATTCTGTTTTCAGCTCCTGACCAGAACCCAAAACATGTACATGGATCTGGAAATAAACATAACAATCTTGTTATCACCTGGGAGGTAATCTCTATACATTTAACCATTCTGAATTTGACCAATTATTGCAAAGGCCACCATAACCAGCATTTATGTATCAGAGCTTAATTTGATTTTACTTCAGTGTAATGTAGTGCAGTACACCTCCAAAGAAGCAGAGTCTAAAGAATATGTTATGTCTTAAATTTCTCTTTCTCCAGCCTCTGTCAGGCCTTCAGTCCAACGGTCCTGGGCTTTATTATAAAGTGAGTTGGAGGCAGAAGAGGCCAGGCAGCGACTGGATAACAGCCACTACCAACAACTCCATGTATACCGTATCTGAAATACCCACATTTAGTCCATTTGAGATAAAGGTCCAGGCTGTAAACAACCACGGAGATGGACCAGAGCCCGTTGTTGCTATCGGCTACTCAGGAGAAGATTGTGAGTCCACCTTAACCTTTTAAGGTTTTTAAGTTCTTACAAAAAGACTGTTTGAGCCGGAGGCGATGTATGTGGCTGCATACCCTGTAACATTTCAGTCTGGCCTTTTGGTTGTAGCCTGTTCTAATGTTACATATCTTATTTAACTCTACAGTGCCAGCAGCAGCTCCAGCAAATGTTCACGCTGTAGCGCTAAACAGCACCTTGGCTCGGGTTCGCTGGGACCCTGTGCCTCCTCATTTAATACGAGGGCAGATCCAAGGATACAAGGTACAGATAAGCATGTTGAATGACAAGCCAACTAATGAAAAGTAAATGATAATCTACACATTTTGGGTGAAAGATGGGTGTGTAATTCTTTTCCTGTTGACCAGTACAAAGTTGTCCCAGTTGAAGCTTCAAGGTAAACAATATTGTTACTTTAATGATAAAACATCCATTTAATACTTTGCTTCCAAACTTTAGACAAAGTGAATTTGTGCTGAAATTGATGTCATAAAAGTTGCAGTTGGTGACTTTTATAGAAAGTCTTTTTTACATATTGTTAAAACTGTCACTATGTTGTGACAATTTAATATGAATCTTTTTTAAAAAAATCAACCTTACTTCAGGTCAATTGACTCCTTTTCAAAGTTGACAAAACATCCCCAAGGTGAGTAAGTTGACAACTGTGCCATTCAGTTCCTCAAAAAAAAAAAAAAAAAACACCAAATGATTGTAACTTATAAACTACAAATACTGAATTATCAAAATGACCAGTAATAATAATAATAATAATAATAATAATAATAATAATAATAATAATAATAATAATAATAAAATAATGGAGTTCATTTCTAAATACTTCAATGATACTGCTTACTTTAATCTTTAATCTTGAGCCTTTGACAAGATATATGTTCAGTGCAGAACTCCTTATGGGATATGTTTTTTTTCATTATTATTTCATTTGTGCTACCTCATTGCATTCCTTCACAATAAATATTGGTTTCTCTCACAATCTATATGGAAAATAGACAAGACACTTCTGTCTATTTTCCATATAACCATAGCGATAACAAACGTTAGTTTAAAATTGCAGGCATGCAATATGAAAATGGCTACCGACACAAAAAAGACTCCACAATCTATACTGGTCACATGGTGATATTACCTCTTGAAAATACGTCTAAATTATTTTATTTTATGTCAAGTTGAGTAGGGATGGTAAGCCGGTAGGTTTGTGATGTGTTTGTATCCTAAGGAAAAAGATATAACACTTTAAACATCTCACAAATGAAATGCAAAGATTCATGGAAAAACCTTACAAAAACCTTATATTGTGGCAGCAACACTTTCAGTTCTTAAAGTCTCACCAATTGGCTCGTAAATACATTATTGCAAGGGGATATAAAAGTGTCGAGCGAGAATGCAAATTTTTTGTGAGGGAATGCAACATAAATAAACTAGTTTATGTCTCCTTGGGAAGTTTTTAGTTGGAAACCACACCTTAGTGTGATATTTGAGGACAAAGGACAGATCTCGCTTTTTATGTCTTTATTCACTCGTCTATCATCCATTGTGTACACATGATTTTAATTTTATCTTTAAAAAAAGTGTATTTTGGATCCATGTATGCACAAATGACACAGATGAAGCTTCTGCATTTGACACTGTTTGTTGCAGGTTCATTACTCGAGGACACACAACCCTCATAAACACAGCCCCCATCACACAGAGAAGCATGTGCTCACCTTTAGTGGGAACCACAGCCAGGGCCTGCTGCCCGGGTTGCACCCGTTCAGCCACTATTCTTTTTATGTCAGCGTCTTCAATAAGAAAGGAGAGGGTCCCAAAAGTGAAAAGCAGGAGTTTAAGACACCTGAAGGAGGTATGACATCTAAACTTTAAAACTCTAATATGTACATTTTTAAGTCTTATGAGAAAATGTCAAATGCATGACTATGCTAATGCTTTAATTCCTGAATTTAAAGGAACAGAAAGGAGAGTTTAGTACCATCTCGTGGGGAATTATAAAATTGCATTTGTACAAGATGGTTGGAGAAATGTATTTATATTTATGTTAACCTTTTGCTTTTCTGTCTGAAATAAACTGGACATCATCTCATTGCCTCTTTCCCTTCATTGGTTTCTCTTATATTAATCAGATTTTCTGTCACTGACTTGTGTTCACTCATTGTTGATGCTTTTCTGCAGAGCCTGGGCCACCCGCCTCGCTGTCTGTCACAAACCCAAGCCTAGATTCACTAACCCTCGAATGGAGTCCTCCTCATGAACATAATGGCCTCATCACTGGCTACAATCTGAGATATCAGCCAGGTGAGAAGTTTTGTTTTTCTTGACAGACAGCAAGCGAGATTTTAAATTTGTTATGTGAACATCATCCTCTGTCATCTAGTGCGTAGCCATGTAAAGCCATTCTTTTTCATGGCTTAATCAGTCATATAGGAGAAGATTAGCGTAGCTTAACTGCATTTAAATGTTCTTACAATTGCAACAACACAAGTTAACAAATCAACTCTGGTCACTCCCAACTTCTGTTTCTGAACCCTACTCCTCTGTTATCCAAATCTTTCCATTTTCACCCTTTTTATTACTGATACTCCATCTGCAACCCCTCACCCTCCTCCTATCGCCACACAACTTCCTGTTTTCCGACTTCCTTCTCCATCCCATCGTTGTCGTCATCCGACCCTCACCCCTGTAGTCAATAACTCCAATGAGCTTGGCCCAGAAGAGGAGCTGGCCCTGGCTGCCAATGAGACCTCAGTCACTTTGCAAAACCTCAAGTACAGCCCACGCTACAAGTTTTATTTGAATGCGAGAACAAGCTTTGGAGCGGGCCCAGCCATTTCTCAGGAGGCTGTCGTCAAGCAGGATGAAGGTAAGTCATCAAAGGCAGACAAGTGCAAAACGTGGAGCGTGTGGTATTTAAGATGACTAATGGCTAACATTTCCAAATTGTTCTTGGATGACCTTTAAACGAGGCATCAAAAAGCATTAAAGAAATAATCCCTATTTAAAAGAAACGGCTGGTTATATATATATATATAGATATCAGTCAAATAGAAACCTGCAGGTACATCTCCTATGCAATCGTATTTATTTAATATAAATATGTCTGGAAGTTTTGTAATCTGCAGTATCTTTAATCTGGAGCAGGGGAGCTAAAAAAAGAAGAAGCTGCATGTAAAGAATGTGATAACACCCACAAACTCTGTTTTGAAGCACTTTACCATGGAAACAGTGATCAATTTAGAGGGGAATTGCAAATTACTTGGAGGCTACGCCCTGGAGCACAAACTAATTAGATTATAATTTATGAAATAAACATTGTGCGTTATATCGACTGAAACAAACACATTAGGAAAATGTTTCTAAAGGTCATCAATTATGTGAGATGGAAGACCATTTAGTCTCGGTCTACTTTTGACACATAAGCTGTTTTTAATTCACAATCTCCTTCATAAAACAGCTGACTTCAGAAACTAATGTTTTCTAAATCAAGACTGGAAGAGTTTCCCAACATGATTTAATGGTGACTGCTTTGCTATTGAAGCTCGTGTCCTCTGTTATGTGTACATTTAGTTTTAATGTGTTTTTCATTGTGAAGGAGCTTTTGTTCTATTGCTTGTCTTTTTCTATGACAGAAAAGATTACCTTGTCCAAGTTAAAGTCAATTGGCAGTACTGCAACAATTTGCAGAAAAAAAACTTTCTTCTGAATTGTGAAAATGTTTGACTTTTGTCCTTAAAAATCTTCATCAGTTCAGCAAGAAGTAAAACATCTCATTTACAGTTGTGATCAGAAGTTTACATCTGCTCATTCTGGCCAGGAGTTTTAAGTTTCTTTTGAGCTTTTAATTAGTAATTTGACATTTTTCAAGGATTGTATAACAATAGGCTATTATTAAAGAACTGCATGTCCCATTATTCTTTATAGCAACAGCTACAATTTATTTAAAATTTCTACTTGACAGAGATGAGAATTACAAATATAAGGTTAAATATACACACACATTTACCTAAATCTTTAAGTAAGGTGTGTTGAAGGTTGTCATTGCCATTGACTGTTGTCCTCTGGTTTGTAACAGTAATTGATTGCAATTGGTGTTTTTCCTTGTTAGCGTAAGATGGATTTGTTTGCAGTCATTTGACTCACAACAGTTCAATATTTGCTATTGTACATCACCATAGACTGAGAAGATGCTGACCAGGAAACAAGTACATCAAGTAAAATGGACACTTGCTTGACTAAAATATGCAGATGTCTAAATCGGCAAGTTAAATAACTTCTGCAGGAAAGTTTTATGGTCATATGGGAGTGTTTTGATACTGTGACACAATACATGTTTAGAGATCTTTTTGCGCACATAGGTGGTTGACAACTGGGATTTAACTGGGTGATTTTTACTTAATAGTCATGCACGGATCATGGATGTGAACATTTGATCACAGCTGTGCAAACATTTCAGATGATTGGCTTTTTTTTCATACACTGAAGATTTATATTGTACATTCATATAAAATAATTAAAAATAATCGACCCGTTGCCTCATCATATTTTTGTTGGTTCAAAGAAAAAGTACCAACATTCAAGTATTTTACTTTGATTTTAGGTGGGTACATTGCACTGTTGGTTCTACTTGTTTCTATGTTATGTTCCTTAGAAATATCTTTAATTCAAGGGTGTCAACATGAGGTTTACTGGATACATGTGAAACTGAATCTATGATACAAAAGTGATAAAAGCAGAGGGATGAGGGGTGAGCTTTTTGTAGCTCACCTATTATTTTCTGTGTGTATTTGTTTCTTCAACCTGTAGCATCAAATGTTAGCAGACGTGTATATCTAGGTGGAGAACACACTGCATGCATGCTGCTTATCTCTGAGGACATTCACCTTTTCTCTTTGTCCTTTATCCACCTAAATATTTGAGTTCACTGCCACATAGGCAATGATCCTGTTTGACATGTGCCTTTTCAGTTTCACCTGATAAAACAGGATCAGACTTTATTAGAGTGGCATGCTGCTGTTCTTCTCCTTTGTTGTCAACAACTTTGACCCTCTTGTACTTTTTGCATGGCGGATGCTGCTTGTGCTTCCTGCTCTATGGCGAGGCTTTTCCTTGCATGCTAATGAACTCTGTGCTTTGTGGATAATGACTGTGTGTCTGCTGTGTCTCCCTGTTTTTGTTTCCTTTGCATGTGTATGACAGTGTTTGGGTGTGGGTCCATATTTTATCCTCTTGGTGTTGTTTGCAGGAGGCACCCAAACCTCTCATCCCGTTGCAGGGTTTCCTCCACGGCGTCCGATGCACAAGGGTACAGACTATGCTGAGATCTTAGTAAACTACATGTCGGATTAGATCATTATGAGTTTGATTGTGAACTCCGTTTTTGATGGTTTATTGCCTCAGCCAGTGCTGTTGCGCACTTCTGTAGGCATGCACAGAATTACAAGTGCCTCTTCAAAAATGAGAAAACCATCAACAAGTTAAATCTATTTGAATAATTTCTTCCAAGTGAAATTCATGTATACAACTGGTATCAGACATTTACATGTTAAGTACGGAGAGAAACATATTCCACACGTTTTTTTGGAGACTAAGATCAGGGATTAGTGCAGGGGTGTCAAACTCCAGTCCTCGAGGGCCACTGTCCTGCAGTTTAACTGAATCACTTTGTGACATTTCTCCAACAATGAAGAGTGCATGATCACAGTATTTTGAAGCGTCAACAGTCTCCTACTTGATTGTGCACATGACATTTCTGTATTGATAACCCTTTTGTATTTGTCTTGTGTAATATTCAGATTTTCTAAGAATAAACATTTTTCATTAGCTCTAAGTTTCCAGAAACAAACACTAGAAATGGGTCAGTCTACGTTTAGTAAAGCTATGCAACACATGAGTTTTGTTTTTTAGCTCCATTGTGGAAATAGACTTGCTGATGATATTCTAATACATTAAGATCCACTTATATAATCAGGACAAAGCGATTGATTGCCATTTGTTGGATTTCCCATCGCCCCACGGGACAGCTTTGATGTTTGTCTCTTCTCTTGTGTGCGCAGCCCGGCCTATGAGTCTTTTTGCGAATGTTAGCTCCTCGGTTGAAGAAGATGGAACCCTGATCAGTTGGGAGTACTGGGGTCCAGAGAAAAATGTTTATGTAGAGTACATTGCAGAAAACAGTAAGAAAAATCACCTCTTTGATATTTCTCTCAGCTTCAGGCATGGGTGGCAAGAGACTCCTACTTCATTACCGGCTTCAGCAGGTGATAATATCGGCAGTCAAGTTAACGCTGGGTTCTGCCATGGAAGACCCTGGTTTAATAAATTAAGTTTTCCGTGATTGGATTCTGAATTAGCCAATGCTGGAATTGGCTGGAGTTCTCATTTCCAGTCAAAACACTGACAGAATTTATGAGTAAAATCTGACAAAAAGCAGCACTTCCTGTCATCTTTATACCCACAGAGGTTGACTAAAGTGCTTTCACTTGCTTATTTCTACCTGCGGTGAGGTTAAAAGCTCTGCGGTATGACTCTCTCACACCTATTTTTTCAATCATTCAGTTAGGAAATGTCATCATAATAATATCCAACTAATTCAAAAAGCTCAATTCAGTGATCATCAGTCATGACACATTTCAAGTTTAGCTCATTCCCACTTTTGCTTGTTTGGTGGCCCTGACAGCTCATATGCAGGTAAACAGATAAAACACTGCAACACTTCTGAGGCACTCAGTGGACAAGTCGGAGTGAGATTTCTATCTCAGCGACAGCACAGCTGTGAAATCATTGCTCATAGTGACATAGAAATAGGTCTTTTATTTATCTGAAGGTCTGAGCATCAAGTGTTTTCTCTAGTGGGTGTTTTTATGTGTCAGATCATAGGATTCGATTTTTTTGTGGCTTGGAGTGCAAAATAGCCTTAAAAAGCAGTAACCACAAAATGAGTCTAGAGGTACTTTTGTAACCTTCAGAAGAGCGTGAATACCTCTTGAACTTTTTAATATTTTGTCATAATATGATATCTGTGGAGTGCAAGGAAAGTGAAAGGAAGTTTTGCACATTTTTCTAAAACTATAAATCTGAAAAGTAGGGGCTCCATTTTTATTCAGCTCCCTGAATAATTACATTTTAAAACATATCTTTTTCTGTTAGTCATTTGTGGTATGTCTACCACCTTGGTAAGGTGCATGCGCAGTATTTACACATTAACAGTACAGTTAATTGTCAGTGAGATTGTATGCAGATTGTCTGTGAATGCCACTTTTCACATATTGCTGTGATTTTAATTGAATTCATGCCTGGATTGACTGGGTCATTTCAACAAATGATTGTGCTTCAAACAGTCCATTGTACCTCTGGGTTGTTGCCGTAGGGCAAATCGGCACTCTATTCTCAGCTCTTTTGCCGTCTCCATAGGTTTTCTCCCAGACTTTTCCTATGTTTATCATCAAACAAACACAGCATGAGGCGGTCACCCCTATGTTTAGGGTGATGTGCACCTTTTTCCGTCACACAAGGTATGTAGCATGTCGGCCAAAGATCAGGGTGAATTTTGGTGTCATCTGGCCAGAGCACCTTGTTCCATATGCTTGTTTTGCCTCTGATGTGGCTTATCTATGAGTACTTCTAATTGCCACTGTGTACAGCTGTGATAACTAAAAATGGCATATTGTGTGTGTGTTGTCCAGAGGGGATTTGGCTGGTTTTGACCAAATTTTGGAGCAGAAAAGCAAGACCAAATGATCATGGGTATTATGTCAATTTATTATAAATGAAAGCTCATGAAAACCATAATAACATGTGGGAGACATCTTTGCTGTTTATGTCTCCCTAGATTATTGTGTTTTTCTAATTATAATATGTTCTGAGCAACAAGCAGCTATTCTGAACCAAGCTGGTGTCCTTTTAGTTATTTTTAGGCAGCACTAATTGTCAACAGTTTTTTTTTTCAGTGTGCATGGGCTTGTTGAAGTGCATTGAGCTCTCAGGGTCACCACAATAATTTATTCAAAACCTAAAATGATTTTTTTTTCCTACTCTTGGAATATCGAAAATTGCCTGCAGAGTATTGCCCTATAAGTAGCTCCCATCGCTCCTCCATCTCCATAGACCATTGAAAGCTCTGTTCGCTCCCTCAAACATACCTCTCTCCGTCGACGTCCCTCCTGCAGGTGAAGGTGAAGAGGAGTGGCAAAAAGAGCTTGTGAACGGCTCTCAGAACGTTAAGCTGAAAGGTCTAAAGGTGGGCCTCTCCTATAGGGTACGTGTGGTGGCTAAGGGTCACCACGAGCAGCCGCTCCACTCCGAGGAGCTGTTTGTCACGGTCCCAGGTGAGGCGCGTCCTGGGGTGTAGCCTCCATCTTGACCTGGCTGAGTCAGGCCTCATAATGTCACTTGTGTACAGTATCTGGTAGTTTGCACCATTCTACCATTGCAAAGTTGAGTTGGTTTTAGCTGAAATGTTGCTATTAGGGGTGTAACGAGACGTTGTGATATTAAAACGCCACGATCCTTCTCATAAAGTTGAAATCTTTTTTACAAAGTGCAATGTAGCTGCCAGTGCTTTCCCTGGTGAAGTAAATATAAGCTGTTTGATCAGACAGGAAGGTGGCTGCCCTAAACTTGACGACAATGAAGCCCAAAATTCTCCTGGTGGATTTAGATTAAAGTAATCTTGTGATTTTACCTACATGTTCTTGCTGACTAGAAGTCATCTTAATGTTGAGCCAGCCGGGGTCCTGACTTGACTCTGATAGAGAATCTGTGGAGTCAGTTAAAGATTAGGGTGATGGTAAGGATGCCGTTCAACCTCAAAGACAAAATAAATCCTCAAAATCAAAGTGGAAACATGCAAAAAATCTTTCAATGATCATAAGACGGATTTGATGCCAGAATTAATCTATTCATTATTCAGAAAGGTTTACATAGTTTTCAAAATCCTAATTTTGTTAACCTTCCTACAGTGGCTTACTACTTGTACTTACTTTTTTTTTTATCAGAAAAAAACTTTTTGGTCGAGTGAGAGAGATTTTCCATCTAAATCTCCCTGACTCTTGAATAATGTTTGGGCTTAGTTGTTGGTTTGAGATTCAGAAGAACAGAAATGCTTCTTGGTTTGCTTTGCTTTGTTGAAGGAGTCAACTAATAAAGACCTCTCTGGCTGCCATGCAACTATTTGTAAAAAAAAGAAGAAGCCTCTTTTCATTTTATTTGTTCATCTGTCATTCTTTTTCTGTAGCTGATAGACAAAAGAAACAGTGATAGGACTGACAGAGTAACTATGAACTATTCTTAACATGATTAGTGACAACACAGGTGATTGCAAATCTAAGCACCTATTTCAGGTTTTTGATGTTTTAAGAAGCCTTAATCTGAATAGAACAGAGATCTTTTATGATATGTGAAACTTTAGCTCGATTTTAAAAACACAAAACGTGGATTCTTAGCTTTACCAGAAGTTTTGACAAAAATTTTCTTCTTCTTTTCATTGTAAATTTCCTGAACTGGATGTATCGTTACACCCCTAGTTGCTGCAGTGTAACAAACATGCAGAGATAAAATGATTAACAGTTTGCATGACCTTTGGGTTTTAAACTTTTGCACTTTGTATATTAATCTCATTCTGTAGATATGCAGATAACAAAAAACAAATGATATTCTAATATAGATCATTTTGAGTATAGCATTATAATTTCCAACCTTGACTAGAAAAAAACTTGTATGATGGCCAGTGATTGTAGTTGTGTGTGTTTGTGTTTGTAATTGTCACTAAATGTAAAATTATTTTGCAACATTTCTAATGCAGTTCATCTTATTCTCAAATTAATACAGAAGATTTCCTGCTCATCTAACACAATTTGTAAAAAGTGTTATCTTGGTTCACTCATGAACTGAAATGACTAACTGATGGCTATTGCAGCTGTCAAAACAATGCAAGGCCATTTCAGCACATCATCGGAGGAAGATTTTCCTCATCACTGAAAAGACTGTAGAAATATTGCATTTACAATTATCGCATTATCCCTCCATCTCTGACCAGCTGTGACGAGCAGACAGGTAGACATCGCCACTCAGGGATGGTTCATTGGCCTCATGTGCGCCATCGCCCTGCTCATCCTGATCCTTCTCATTATCTGCTTCATTCAGAGGAATAAAGGAGGAAAATACCCCGGTGAGTCACTGCACAAACAAACCCGATGCGCACAGTTTTCAGCTATCTTTGGAAGTTGTCAAAAATATTTTTTTGGGGGGGAGTTTTGCTCTCAAAATGTGGGATATTTCTGCTGCTGTGTGAATGCTGGGTAATGTATAATGTTACCAATTCTTTTCTTGTTAGGAAATTATTTCATATTGGCACATTTTTCTAAATTTCACAGCAAGCACTCAGCTAAAGAACATGACACAAGTAGATAAGTGTTATTGCAAATATTGAGAAAGCCTACTGTTCTTTGTTTATGTCCCTAGTCAAAGAAAAGGAGGATGCACACACAGACCCGGAGTTCCAGCCAATGAAAGATGATGACTGTACTTTTGTGGAATACAGGTGAGAGAAAGTGCTCTTGCTGCTGGACCGCTCACGCCCCCAAAGTCCATTTTTATCCATCAGCCCCCTCGCCTTGTGCCCACTTCTGGCCCACTTCCTTCCTCTTCCCAGCCCTTGCAGCTGACAATAACCCATTCAAATCCATCAGTATCAGTCACAGCATCAAGAGGAAGGCAACCGGTTCGAGCTTCTGCCAAGATTCTTAATGGGGCGGAGATGTCTTGGAGGCGTCTCGTGTTGGACTGGTGTGTCTGCTGGACATCACATTGTGATACCATGTAGGGATCAGGATTCTTCAGGTCTAATTGATTTCAAATTTTATTATGTCAGAGGTTTAAAAATGACTGTTACAAGAGATGAATAGTACAAGCAATCATTAACACTCATCCCGACTAATAAGCTAATCACAAGCATTTTGCCGACAGTAAATATAGTGTTAACACTTTGCCTAACCTTCTGGATGTTCTCCAGCTATGTCTGTTAGCCTCCTTCATCTGGGCTGCATCTCCAATAGCATGCTGAAAAAAAAGACAAAAAAGAAGCACTTTAAATCTGTACATGTAACGTTTTTGAATATTGTTTTCTAAAAGTCAATTTATAAGATAGTCTTGATTTTATATTTTGTATTCTATTCCTTTTTGTATGTAGATATAAATATGTTTGATGGATTTTATGCATGGGTATTCAACATTCTGCTCCAGGGAATAACGTGTTGAATGGATGTATCGATTATATATATAGATATAGTATATTGTATAAATGCATATGGATCTGATGTGGCATTTAAAGCATGTCTGAAGACTGAGTAGGCTGTTTAATTGTGCTACGGACAGATTGACGCCCGGTTTTTAAATTGTATTACATTTTAATCCTAAAGTTGTCGGTTCTCCATCTCTTATTTATTAAATTCATAAAAAGATCAAAATCAGCTGTACTGGAGGCAATGTTTAAGTTGATCCCAATCCTTTTTTTTTTGCTATCTTGATGTCAAAAGTTACATCAGTCTCTGAAACATGTCAAGATATTATTTCTTTTTGAACTTGTTACATCTTTTTGAACTACACACAATACATCAGAATACCTTAACAACAACTGCTTGTGGGATTTATAATGTTCAGTACTCTGTAAGTAAGTACTCTAGCTTTGGTGTGAGTTCGTTCCGCAAAAACTTGCATCCCAATATCTCCAGTAAGAAACGGTAAATTAGGTGTAATGCTGTCTAAGAGCAGCATTTTAGAGACATAACAACTGGGCACAATAGTCAGCCATTTAAAACCAAAGGGGAGTCCTGACTCTATTTTGAGTGACTGCTTGTGACAACACTGGTACTGAAAAATCAAAAATGTCTGTATTACACTTACAAACAGTTGCTTCATGGAAATGATAACATTATTGATCTGCTTTAATGAAAGTAAAACAGGACTGAAAGTTATTTATGTTTTATGCTTTGAAGATGTTTAGATTTTATGAAAAGAAATATAATCAAATACAGTACAACTCGCAAGCTCTATAATTTGTAGTGCCACCAGTACAAGATGGTTTTGAACTTTTTATTGCTAAAGAAAATGCCAACAGTCCATTGTATTAGTAGAGAAAGAGGAACACAACAATGGATGCAAACGAAAAGAGAGATTTATTGGACAAACCACGTTGCAAAGTAACATAGTGCCTTTGTTAGAGAACTTTTTCCTTTCATCCTGTTTCGTTTTATTCAGCAGGAACCTTACAATATGTCAATAAAAGGCATAACCTAACTCACCCGAGCTGTTTTTGGTTGTAGAACAACTAATTTATGTTCAAGACATAATTTCATTCCTCACTAATGTGAAAGTGTTAAACTCTCCTAAGTGTGTGTGCGTGTTGAGAAGTGAACCAGTGTGCAGGAATGCCTTTCTGTGTGGGATTTCAGTGAGATGTCCTCATTTGATCTCAGGGGTTGTGGGTCTCAGTGAAGGTAAGAGTGGTGATGGTGTCGGTGGGGGTTGTTTGAGGTCTGTGGAAGTCACTGTGGAGAAAAGCGCCTGCTGTCATCAATTTTAATACTCACTCATAAAGCCTTGATCATGCTCAGCATAGCACGTTTTCTTCATCAATAATATGGCCTGTGCTCTGATACTCTGTAAATGTTTTACGCTTACAGATTATAATATGCTGTGTTAAATTTGAAGAACATTGCGGCATTATGATGGCTTTATGAACGCATCTCATTGACGGTCAGCTCATTTAACCACGGAACGTTTCTGATGATCTGATTTCCAAAGAAAGCTTTCTTTGCAGACGTTTCATACATTGTGCCCGGGTTGGTGTTATTCTCAAGCTCGCTTTACAGAACGTGCATCTGAAAGTCTTTGCTTTTCAAGTTTTATTCACCTCATCGTGCTGGAGCTGCTTGTTTTTCATCACAGGCTCTTGTCTTGGGATGGGGAATGCTCTTTGTCCCTCAGCACATTCACCGCCTCACGTTTGGTTTCAAAGGGAATTTAGATAGAGTGTGTCGGCTCGAGCTTTATTCCCTGTTGCCTGACAGAAACCAATCAATCATAGCTTCTGTTTTTTTTTTTTTTAGACGTGGAGCAAATCAAAATCAAAACTAAATCCAAATTGCTGCTTATTTTTAAAACTTTTGGCTTTTCACTCCTCAGGTGTGAGTCACAATTGGCCATTTCATGCTCCATCTAAAAAAAAAGTGATCACTAATCTTCTTGCATCTCCCACCTCATCTCACCTGTAACATTTGCATGTTATTTTCTCCTTCAGTGACAATGAGGACCATAAACTGGTAAAAGAGAGCCGCACGCCGTCTAACGGGACGGTTAAGAGAGACGACAGTGACGACAGCTTAGTTGACTACGGGGAAGGCGGAGACGGACAGTTCAACGAGGACGGCTCCTTTATTGGCCAGTATAGTGGAAAGAGTTCCAGCAGGGACAATGCTGAGGGCCCTGAGAGCTCAGGGGCCCCATCCCCGATTAACGCCATGAACTCCTTGAACTCTTTTGTGTAGCGGTGTGGTGTGCTTGCTGCATCCCGACAATGGCAGAATCGCCATTTAGCATGGGGATTTGGGTTTGGGGGTCTCACGACTCTGCATGGCTTCATAATCACACACCTCTGAGGCACAAGAAACATAGAAAGACTGATTTTTTTTTTTTTACTTGGAAATCTTCCTGACGACGGGCTTAGTAGCTGAATTGTATGATTCTGATTTGACAATACGTGCTTTTTCTTTAAGACATATATTATTAATACTTTGACATTAACTCATATTGCATCTTTCAATAGGCCTCACATGAGCAATACAGTGCTTTTCTGGCATACATATGTTGGTTTTGACATTTTTTTTCACTGAAGCAGTGTTAAATGTCAACAGCTAACATGCATATTTCCAACTGAGAGCAGGACGTTGCTGTTACGTAGTGCACTGATATAATGCATGTGCTGCAATTATTCAGTTTTCAAATGCATTTACAATCCCACTGGCAGAACATGCACACCTGCTAGGTGATATAACCGAACCATACAGAAGGTGCAGTTCCTTGCAAAAGTATTCATATCCCCCCATTACAAGGCCAAACTTATGTGTATTTTATTGGGATTTTATGTAACACACAAACTGGTACTTGTGTGAGTATATAGTTGATATTGTTCATAGGGACACGTTCATGATTTTCTCACTTTTTTTGCAAAGAAGAATCTGAAAAGTGTGACTTGCATTTTTGAGTCCGACCTTTTTTGGATCACCTTTGGATCATCTGCAAGTATTTTGGGGCATGTCTGCATTAGAGGAAACTCAGATTAAATTGAGAGCATCTCTAAACAGCAGTTTGTAAGATCTAAATTTAGTTCTTCATTTGGATTCCATCAGCTTCACTGTTCGTACAATACGATGCTGCCAATACCATACCAGTACCAGAGCTATGGATCTCTGGGATTCCTTAAGAGTTTGTAAGTTCCTCTTGGCTCATTATCTGATCAGTAGCTGCCTTGCCTACATTGTAGGTAGATGGTAATGAGAAGATGGAAATATGAAAGTGTGCTATGTTCTTTTTTTTTTTTTCAAGTGATGTATTGAGCAGCTCTCCAGGAAATGTTCAAAACTTTGGATATTGTTTTCCAACCTAAACGTGCTTTAAGCTTCTCCATGATTTCATCCCAGGCCTTTCTGCTCTGTTCTTTGTATTTTATGATCTTGTTTGTTCATTAATGTTCTCTAGAAAACATGCAAACAGTTAGATTTGTACAGAAATTAAATCTTACCGAGATGTTGTGACGTGTAAAAGTTGTACTGGTTTTTAATTGAGAACAAATGAACGGCTGTATGCTGATCTATCATAAAATCTCCATTAAATATACTGAAGTCTGCGATTGTAAAAGAAGAAGCAGCTCAAGAGGGATGAATACTTTTTCAAGTTGGGTGCTGACAGCTCCTCCTTTGTCACTTCTTTAATCTGCCCCTGCAAATGTAGAAATTGAAATGCAGCTGTTGGATGTGTCATGCCATCTTTATATTATTTTTCTTCCCCCTGCATGTGACCTCATGATTTCTTTAGCTCAATCTGAAGATCAGACGTGAATGCTGAAGGTCCAGCAGCTCGGAGGGGTTCCTTCAGCAGGCAGTGCCTTTCTAAAGCAGTGACTCAGTTCTGAAGACTCTCATTGGAGTTTAATTACTACAGTGAAGACAGTAATGGGATTTGCAAGAGTCACGTCATAAATTCACTCCTAACGTTGCTCTGACATGCAGAACCGGCTTTGTTTCTTTATTGGGATCGGATCGAAACATTGTTAAAGCTTCTTGTGGCGCATCAGAGATGCTATTGATTGTATTTCTTCAATGTTTAAATGTATATGGATTTGTGTGTGAATGTGTGTGTGTGAGTGTTTGTGGATGCCTGACATTCAGTTTCATTGAGGCAAACATTGTTCAAATGTACTAACTACACTTGAGGGCCTTTGGATGGAATCAAGATTTTCTTTTTCTTAACTTGCATCAAGTTTTATTTTTAAAACATTTAGTTGATGAGTATTTGACGACTGTGTAAATACGTCAATTGATTGTACAGGGACAAGCAGAATATGAGTGGCAATATTGTGCATGATGTGGTTTTATTTGTTAATTTGACTATAATAAATATAGACAACTATAGACTAGAGAATATATATACAGCCTCAAATGTTTCATTTTTTATTATTATTGTTTCTGTGCAACTTGTAAATTGTAATTAACTAACGGGACTGAAATTTTCTTATGAATAATGTGTCTTTCTGTTCTAATACTCAATGCATCATAATGCACAGGCTGATATTCTGATTTGAACTGGTTGTAATGGTTTCTATTGTAATCCCGTAGGAATTGATTCACTTTGTTTTCAAGTATCTCAGATGTTTTGTATTTTAGAGCCAGATTTGTACTAACAAATGATTTCATTTCAGCTATTTAAGTTTTTATTCTCTTCATTGCTGGTTTGACTTTCCGCCTACGGGAAATATGATGCATAAATAAAGCACCTGCTTTAAATTGTCCGACTGGAACTTCCTTGAGTGAAGTGAACAACTTTAATCGGTCCAGAGACACAGCAGAGAACCTGTTGAGCTTTAAAAATATTAATTATACAGCCAAGAAGACACTTTTCAGTACCCTTCTATGACTGCACAAAAACCCACCTATCAATGAAGAAAATTCTAACAGTTTTTGGCAACTATGATTGTTCTTTTTATATGCTTCTGATCATCGGTTCAGTTGTAAATAAAGATGGATGTTTTTGGCAACATATTTTTGCAGTAATCCTTGCCAACAAGTGATATCTGTACTTCACTCTTTTACATTTGTTAACAAATAATCAGCTTTTTCTGATCAAAGGGTCTCAAAAATAAAATGTTTACATCTTTTTATATAGTCTTCTTGGCTCATCAGATAAAAAATATATATATCTTTACAGAATTACAGCTTTTAAAGTTGCAGTATGTATGGTAACTCTCATAAAAAAAACATTTTTTTATTTTTTTTGCGTATTTGTTAAAACTGTCACTGTGTTGTGGCAGTGTAACATGACACAGATGGTCTGTGAAAAGCTTCACTTCCTCCACTTCCTCCCAGTGCTGCTACACATCGCTCCTGGTCAACAGCAACCAATCAGAGCCAGGAGGCCACTGCCCCTCCTTAGAAAGACTCCAACGAAGACCAAGAACAACCCGTAAGAGGGCATAATTTTCACTAACTGAGGGCAAAACGTTCCCTTGTTTCCTAATTAATTTCAGGTAACATGATGAAGAGATGACGTATTATTCACTTCCCCTGTCAGTGGTCATCATGTTAGGTCTGTTGGGTGTATATGGTACTTCCGGGCTCCTCTTTCTTCTGCTTTCTCTCATCCATGCTGAGTGTAGTGCACGCACTGATCGCAAACAACACGGCAGCGATGGTTGTGTTCTCTTCAAACAGGCTGATAAAACACTTGTAGACACATGAGAAACCAATTAAGTTTCAACACTTGGTTGGACGCTGGGCTGTAATGCAGGGATCAATCCTGTCCTTAGAGGCGCCGCCAACAACACTGCCTATCTTCTTTGAGCAGACTTTCGTTAAATAAACATTGTATCATCTTTTATCACATTTCGATTCGTCTACTCTGTTGCATGCTAAAGAGATGCAGGATAGCTCTGGAAATACGTTTTAAACTGGACCTCTTTTCAGGAGAAAAGGCGACTTTAAGTGTTTAAGTGAACAGCAGAGGAGATGATAATTTTGTCACCCACTGCAGCAAAGCATAATAAATCATTTGCTTTTTGTCCACGTTTGCACTGATAAGTCTTGTCCCCTTCTAGGAATAATTGAAACACCTTCCGACACAAAACATGTAAGTCTGGGTGCTTCAAACATACCCACATGAGTACAATACATCTTCCCTAGATGAAAGGACTTGGAGCATTTGTAAATATGGATGGCTGCATCTGCCTCAGTCTGAGGCATCGCTGTGAAGGCTTTATGGAACATGGCAGTCGGGGCTCCATCTTTGTGGCGCTTGCTTGTGGCACTTTGACCTGCATTACAGTCACGTTGTCACAGTAATGCGGAGAGAACGGGCAGCCATCTGTTGCATTGTCACACAGCAATGGTGTCAGGAAGCAAAGAAGTCTGTTGCATTGAACACCCTGTGGCAGCGGGGCGAACGTCTGCTTCAACATTTACTGACGTCAAGAACTGACTGAAGTCACATTTTTGCTCACAATGCCAAAAGTATTCATATCGCATTCTTTGCAGCACAACCTCAAACTTCAGTTCATTTCATTGGGAGTTCATTTTGCCGATTGAGAATCTCTGACAAGACACGGAAGCTGATGTTGGCAGTATTTCTCTCCACTCAGTCTAAGTTAGCTTCAGCTGTTTTACAAAGAAGAATGAGCAACCCTTAAGGACTCCAAACTGCAAAAAGGTGCATCAAATAAAATAGCAAAAAACAATACAACTAGGTCAAATACAACCCACGTTTGATGATGAAACCTGATTGAATGCAAGAAACAGCAATGAAACAAAAACAACCTGTTTGCGAGGCACCGTGAACAATTAACCCATATACTGATGTCATATTTAACTGACTGCATCTCTTGACTTTACTGCCATCTAGTGAAACAGGGCAGCTGGACGGATCAACAGGCTTTTGGAGTCTAAATGCTGCTTGATGCAAAAAAAGTAGCTCAAGTAGATAATATTACAACGTAATAACTCCATAATGAACATCACTATGTGGATTTTAGCCTGTGCATGCTCTAAAATATTCACAACATGCACAGTGTTTGTATGACAAGAGGGGTGAGTTTGTTGGCGTTTGGGTTTCTCTCCCTGCAGGTCATTGTCAGTTCTCAGCAAAATGCCATTTATCTGTCAGTTGTTGATCATTGCCACCCAACAAGCAGCTGCCCCATTACCCTTCTGAACTCCACCCCTCCCCCCACAACCTCCTACTTCTCCCCTGCCAACCCCCACCAGCCTCCATCCTCTCTCACTCCTCGGCGAATTTATCCCGACCGAACGTCTGCCCCGGCATCCATTAACCGCTCCCAACTCCTCCGCGTCCTGCTCTTTGATTTACTGCCGGGGTGGAAAGGCCCTCTCTGAATTGATCCGCAGCTGCTTTTAAGCGTGCCTATGCAACAGAAGGAAGAAGCTCATTATGTGTGCTTGTTGTGACTCTCATCCAAAAACATTGTGGGGGAAAAAAATAAAATAAAATTCTGACAATTAAAGTGTGAGTTAAAGATGCAAAAACAGGTATTAGAGAATCTTTCTGATTAATTTGGAGTGTAAATGTGTGCTGAGCTGCAGGGAATTTATACTTGAATGCACCCAGATAAGCCCTTGCGTCTGTTTTTATGTAAATTTGACCTATTCTTGTGCTATGGAAGCTTGGGAGGATAATTGTTTATGATTACTCAGTGACATTTCCATACGGCGGGCAAATGGTTTGCACACACAAACCAGTTTGCGATGACATACGACGCCACAAACATGCATGGCTTTATTTTGATTTGAACACATCCTAGGCCAAATAAAATGCCTCCAAACTCTTGACCTTTAGAGTTTAAATCAGTGGAGTTCAGACTTTCTTCTGTGTGGCATGTAGGCTCGAGATTTTTTCTTTCTTTTTTTTTTTTTTTCCAAAATCAAAAAGGCTATTCTGGATATTGTTTTCGTCTGCTCCACTTGTTGTATTTATCCAATAATTATATAAAAAGTTGTTGTCATTTTAATCATGAAGTCGGAATAAAATTTAAAAAAAGCGCAAAAGTAAAGAAAAAAACACAAAAATTTTGTGCTTTTTCTTAAAATTGCACACTTTAAGAAGATTTTAATGACAGTGGAAATCTGGTGTGGGAATGGACTTGTGTTGTGGTTGGGGCCCCACAAAATCAATTTTCCAAGGCTGCAATTGGACCCGGAGCCTCAGTTGGAAAAGTTTCTGTTCCCTGTCGTCAAACCGAAAGGCTAAAGCTACATTTTACCTAAACCAAGAATTGGGAGTTATCAAGTACCAATCAGATACCAAGACAGCAAAACTAAATCAGAATTAACAAAAACCAAGAGCTTTGAAATTACTTGCAAAGGAAAGTTACACAATAGAGAATCCAGCAGTGAAGACAATAAAACAAAACAAAACAGAAATTTGATTCGTTGGTGAAACTAATCAAATTAGTTTGATTAGTTTGTGGCAAGATGGTGAGTGGCAAGATGAAGAAACTCAAGTGGATTCAATAGGCTTTGATTGCTGGACCAAAGTGTTCCCTTGTCCTTGGATTTATCTTTTTCTTTTTTTTTGCACTGGACTTTTGTGGATTTTGGACATTTTTGTTCTTCAACTCTAAATCTCAATTTTCCACATTTAGATCCTCCATCAATCTAACAAAACATCATGACAGAAACAGGCCTGACACTAATCAATAAAAATGAATACAAATACTCAAAGAGTGTAACACTAAGAAAACAAACAATAGGGAACATAGCAAAAGAAACAAACGGCGAACTTGAATAGCGCTGTTGAAACTAATAAACACAAAAACCAAGACATCGTCACTGAATGGAGACTACAGAATTCATTTCTTTTATAGGGAGTTTCTGATTTTTCTGACGAGTGATTCCATTAACCCAAGTCCCCGACGTCTCCTCAGGAGGTCAATATGCTCATATGAGGGCTTTCTGCATTCTTGATGCAATCTCCCCCTCCCACTGCTATAGCGTTAGAGTTGATGGGGGGGTTTATACCTTTTTGCATGAGGCCCATGAAGATTACTGGGGCTAAATCACATTTACTCTCCCTTCCTCCTTCACGCCCGTGCCTCCATGTCCCTCTTCCTCCTCCTTCTCCTCCTCCTCATTTGCTGCCAGACAGATACATGACAGCCACCTATTCTTTCCCTCAAACAGCAGGGTGTTTGCTGTTCCTCTTATCCACCCCAGAGACCGACCTTGTAACAATGTTTTTTTTTTAAACCAGCAGGATCCATCTCTATTTGCACTGCCTAGAAGGAAGGGGAACAAAAGTGTTGTATCTGGGTTGTTTGAGATGCATTCAGCTCTCAGATAAACATCATATCCTTCTGGGCTGCGCGTTGCACCGCTCGTTTTATGATTCCACGAATTTGCTTGGTCTTACTGATGCACTTTGACTCTGGGTTTTTTCTCTTTTCTCATGAGTCCCTCTGGGCTTTTCTTTTTTTTTGTCTCTCTTTCTTTTGCAATAACAACAGTTCCTATCTGAGAGGACAAAAACAAAAATCTGAATAATACCTTCAAAGGAACAAAGCTGTCACTCCCGCCCTGAAACGAGGCTGTAGAATTTAAAGTCAGCGTTGGATCACATTAAGAAGAACTTTTGCAACACCACTACCCCCGTCCCCTCAGCCCAGAACACAAACTACACCGAAATTCATCCTATAAGGTTAAGTCCTTCAATTAATTCCACTCCGGCTCCGTCTCAAAGACTCTTGAATTATTTATGGCGGCGGGCGTCTGCCGGAGCAGATTATGATTTGGCTGTTTGGTGTTTACATCCAAGATCTGAATCTAATCCCGGGGGATTGAGGTGGTTCTATGTTTGGTCTGATGTGCACACAAGGCGTTACAATTAGTCAGAGGCGCCCTTTTCATATCCATCACATAAAAAGCAGCGCCTCGCCTAATAATGCACACTTATTTCTCATCAGGGGCCGGTGATGGGCAGACACGCGGATCAATTTATTTGTCTGGGGTTGAAAGTAATTGGAAACCTTAAACCGTGT